AAGACTTGCGTCTTGGCCCACTCACACTTCTTCGCATTGATCTTGAAGTTAGCCTCTCTAAGCTTCTCCAAGACCTGCCTCAGATGACCCTGGTGCTCCTGGAGGGTCTTACTGAAAACTAGAATATCATCTAGATAAACTACCACAAACTTGTCTAACCACGGTCTAAACAGGTCATTCATACAACGCTGAAAAGCAGCTGGCGCGTTGGTTAGTCCAAAGGGCATCACTATAAACTCATAATGCCCGTATCTCATCCGGAACGCAGTCTTGTACTGGTCATCAAGATGGACCTCTATCTGATGATATCCGGACTTTAAGTCTATCTTAGAGAAATACTTGCACCCCTGCAGCCGATCTAAAAGATCGTCTATCCTGGGCAGCGGTTCAACATTCTTCACGGTAATCGCATTCAAACCCGTATAATCTATGCACATACGTAGCTCTCCTTCCTTCTTTGGGACGAACAGGACGGATGTTCCAAAAGGAGACGAACTGGGCCTGATCCAACCTTTCTGAAGGAGCTCGTCTAACTGGCTTGCGCAGCTCCTCTAACTCTCTAGGGGACATCCTGTAAACTGCACCCTTAGGAGTCCTACTACCAGGCTCTATCTCTATCCTGTGCTGGATGGGTCGCGGCACTACTCCTGTCGGCGACTCCGTAAAGTCTTTGAATTCTTCCAGCAGCTTGGCAATTGTTGGATTTGCGGAACTATCCTTTTCCTGGGCCTCAGTGACAGGTTTAACATAAACTACAAAGACCTGGTCCTCTAACTGCTCCTTTTTCATTAGTCGCGCAAACGCGGGAGCACTGAGGCAGCAATGCGCCAAGGTGTTGTCTACACCTGACACATGGAATAGGCGGGTAGTCTTAACCTCACCTGACGGGCTAGGGAGTCTACACTCATGCTCTCTCAAATGAAGTGTGGCCCCTGCTGCCTCTCCCCAATCCATTCCTAACACTATATCAAAAGGAAGGTCATCCTGTACGAGGAGAGTCAGGGAACGGAGAACTTTCTCTACTTCCCCATCTTTCTCTAGGCGAAAGTACGCCTGGACTCCCTCTACATAGTCCTCAACACGCATGGTGCAGTTCTCTACGAGGACACTGACTATGGGGTCTGCCAATTTCTGGACTTTTAGTCCCAGCCTCAACTTCTTCAGCGCCCTCTGGCTGATGTAACTACGGGTAGCCCCTGAGTCTATTAGGGCCCCTACTCTACTTCTAAACACTTCTATGTCTACCAAGATCAGTTGTCCCTTACTCTCTTTCTTCATTTTGGCCCAGGTTGGCATCCTCTCTTTCAACTCATCTGCCACGCCTGTGAGGGACGTGCCTAGAGAGACGCTAACACAAGCGGTCTGGACAGCTAGCTAGGCACGCCTGCAACCTCTGCCATGGACTCATGTGGGTTGGGAGTATCCTATTCGCGCGCGCTCACTTCTCCACATGGTCCTAAAGTGGGGGCAGTTGCGACCCCTACTGGCGGCTGCCTTTTGCCTGCTAGGTAGCCCAACGGGCGTGTCTATACTTGGGACAAAATTTGATTACGTGCCCCGGGTCACCACAAAATACGCACTGACCCTAGTCCACGCGTTGTTGCCATTTACGCTGGTCCAAGCCCAAGTCTTCCCAGGGCCTGCCCTGCGGCAAGCCTGGGTGCCATCCACCTTGAGGTGCCCTTCCACCTCCTTGCTGTGGGGACCGGAATGAACCTCGGCGATTTGACGGGGGACCTTGACCCCTGCCTCCTGCTTGGCGGTTTCCTTGGCCGCCAACCCCCTGCGCGCCCGGTCCTCGGCTTCCCATGGCCTGGCCCCTTTGGCCCTGGCCTCCTCCTCTACCTTGTGGCCTCCCTCCAGCCGCGACAGCAGTATAAGACCTCCCCTGTCCCACACTACTGTCCTCTTCCCCTAGGCCCCACTCAATCTGTTCATATGGGACCTCGTCCGTTCCACCTTCCTCTAATGTTAGGATCAAGTGATCCTTGGCCTGAACTTGGCCTGAGATGGTGCGGTCCTTCCACTTTTTCCCCTTCTCCAAGTCTTTGTGCCAGAAAGTGGTAACTGGCATGGACTTCGACTCGTACAGGACGACTTCTCTACTCAATGCATCGTAAGTGATGCCGGCCTGCTGAGATTTGTCAAAGAAATACCCGCGTAGGGCCTGTGGAATGGCACGATAAAACAACTGGACCAGCTGGGGCTCAGTGACCCCATGGTCCGGGAACGGCTACCAAGTCGTCCATGGTACCCTTGAGTGCCTTGGCACTCCTCCACTGCCGTGAGTGGATCGTTTGGAGCTTGTCAGAAGCTCTAATGCCTCGCGTTGGGTCAACGAAACGCTCCTTGAGGAGCTTTAGGAATTGGGAAAGAGGGGTGACTTTGGAATATGCAACCAGGTTGTTTTCACAACCGGCTGTACGCGCAAGAGACCTGGCGAAGCTAGCCGCGTCATCTTTSAGGGCCTGRAAGGCCACGAGGACTTGTTCCTCTATYAGGATATGCTGYARGTARATATAACTATTGACACTRGCTTCCYAGTTGTCAAAGTTTTCTTCCTTCTTTCCCCCGTAGGCATCTGGGAACTTAAGTTTCACTGGGTCCTTACGGGGTCTGGCCTCTCCTTCTACAGCGGCTGCAGCTTTGGCACCCTGAATGACGCCCTCACAAAACTTCCCTACATTGTCCCTCAACTGTTGGACTTCCACCCCAATGTGGGTGACGATTTCGCGCGCAAAATCCTTGAAACCGGACCGCATGGCACTCAACGCTACATCCTGGCTCTAGCTTGCCTGATGCTCCTCCATCTAGGCCTTGCTCAACACCTCTAGGTAGCCCAGTACCTTGTCCCACTTGGCCTTATCATCGGGCTGGGCCAGCACCTTTGCCACTGCTGCGGTCATCTTATTCACTTCCTCTCTCCTCCTCTTCTTCTCCCTCTTCATTCTTAGCTTCCATGCTAACTTTTGCTCGTCTTCCCTCTCTCTTCGTTCCATCGGGTCCGTCAGGGCTGCTAGCTCAGCGACCAGCGCAGCCTTCTCATCCTTAGTCACGTATGACTCCGCCTCCTCGTCTTCCCCCAACGATAAATTAGCGACCCACTCGCCGATCTTCTTCTCCAGCTCAGGATCTGTCTCCCACTTCATCGTGCCACCACTGCTCCCTTCTCCACGCTCAATCCTCATTTTCTCTTTCTCTTCTTCTGCTGCCGCTTCTGCTTCAGCAACTTTTCTTCTTTCTTCCTCCTCTTGTTGTACTCTCTTCATCTCCTCCTCCAACCGCTTCATCTTCGCCGCCTGCTCGTCTGCGATAGCCTTTAGCTTCGCTTGCTTCTCACGTTCTTTCCTCTCCCTATTCTCTTGGACTAAGGCGGCCATCTTTTCTTGCTGCTCCTTACTATAGGGGCTAGTCTCTAACCCAGTACGGGTCTCAACCATGGTGATAAGCGTACAACCGGGTTAGTGGTTCCAAACCTCACCACGTGGACCCTGACCCCTGACTGACAAACCTATTGACTCAATCTAATGACTCACAAGATCCTGACAGGGATCCTGCCGACTAGGATCTCTAGCCTAGACCTATACTATGGCTGTCACTACTGAACCAGTGGCTGATCAGGAGGCATTTAAGGAGATCCCCCGTAACTCCGCAATAATCTTTAACGTCGCACACAGGACGACGTGATCAGCTTGGTTCTGCCTACGCTTTCAGCCCACAACTCAGCCTTTCCGGCCTACTGTGCCACACCGAGCAGCCTGCCGGTCTGTACCGGTCCTTGGGAGGGTTTGACCTCCGGGACAGTCGAGTCGTCAGACACAGATCCTCAGCCTTACTTGGTCCGGTAGGGGAGTGGTTCAAACAGGCCCTCAACACTTAAAGACTGCCTGGTGTGTCAGCCCTAACTGCCGTTCAGGCCCACTGACTCCTACCAACCGTTTCCAGCCGGTCAGTACCGGTGCTAGGGAGGGTCATGCCCCCCTGGAAAGTTGGATCAGCCACAGTCTTAGCCCTACAAGGTCAGACTAGGGTTTCGTCATCCAAGCACTATCCTTCATCCACAGAGTGCTATCACCTAGGACAGAAGAGACTCAATGCAGAAAGAATAGACAGACTGACTTGACTCAGCAAGTACCGGGGGGTGTGTGCACATCCATAGGGCGAGGGGTAGGCTGAA